TCCGCTTTTTGGCATCGCGACTTTGACGGTAAAATGCACCGTTTGTAAAGAACCTCAACGATGCTTGTATTTTATAGCTTATCCAGACATCTTCAGTCGTGAAGTCCCCTCATGGAAGTGTATTGCATAAATTTGACCCTGATACAACCCACTCATTAGGCCGCACGTGCCTGAGAATAAGATCTTGGCAACACAGTCTGTGTTGTCCTTGTGGGCGGAGTCAGCGATTGAGCCGTTTTATTGGTGCGCTCCTCCATTTAACTGGCTCGAAAAGAGGAGCACGCTAGTAATGGTTGACTGTCTCCTCCCATCCAGTGAGCGTGGACCGTGCTCTTAAACGTCTTGAATGGAACTCTTGTGTAGTGAATCAGTTCCTCTTGGAAATTTTATCTTATTTTCTGAATCCTGAGGGAACGTCGCAAATTTGGGGCACGTGTGACAAAAAAGATATTGTATTGCATTAATGCTTATCCTCCTGAACCGGGCTCAATCGGGAGAACACCTATCTGGAGTGGGGGGGGGGAGGACTGTGTGGCTAGCATGTGAAATTGTCATTTACTCATCAGACAAGCCACATAGTTCTCCTAACTTATTCTTGAGCGTCAAGCTCTTGATTGTATGACCCGAGTGATTTGTATATTCTGCTGTAAATTTTGAATATTGTACGGGGTAAACATTTCATTTTGAAATTTGCCATTATGTTTGACCTAAGTGAGCATACCTAACAGAAACCTTTTAGAGATACCTCACCACTTTCGGTTACATGTCAGGACCAAAGGCACCAACAGGCGCAGCTAGTAAACCACTAGAGCCCACCAAGTATGATCTACAAGTAGCCCTCAGGTGCGTTCTTTTTTTCTTTTTCTTCAATACAAACCACGGCATCCTTCATGGGCGACTGTTTTCCACATATAAGGAATACCAATAATTTTCAAAAAAGTTATCACAAGAATGCTGAGTTGTGGGCAAAAGTCGTGCCCCAGGCGGGAGTCGAACCCGCACCTCACGCTTTCCGGGCGAGTGCGCTATCCGTTACGCCACCAGGGCCGCTTTTACCCTCTCAGCTTAACGGCTTTTATGCCGTAGCCTTACAGCACTCACACGTTTAACTTGGTGGCGTAACGGATAGCGCACTCGCCCGAAAGCGCGAACAGTACGTGCGGGTTTCGACTGTCCGCCTGGGCACTGGGCTTTTGCTTACAACTCAGCATTTTTGTGTCATATTAAAACAGTTTCGAAAAAGTATTTCCACAACGAAGGGCTAAAAAGGGATTTCTCAGCGACGGCAGCGTGTTTTCTGTGTCATCTTCGCTCCTTAACGTATAGTCGTCATCCGGGCAGTTGATTAGGCGGTCTTCGAAGGGTCGCAGATGCGGCTGCAGCGACCGCGTGCGTAGGAACTGTTGGCGGCGATCAGCTCTTTCGGGTTTGGTTTACTCCCTTACTTGTCACTGGTTTTTAGCTGCTTTTCTTATGATTAGTTGTCCCTTGTTTTCAGAGCGGTAAATTATTGAATCAGCATTTCTCTAATCTTGCGAAATAATTAAACATGGCACAATTGAACCAAATACCTAAAAAAATCGCAAAACACTTCATTCATAAAAACAAAAAAAGAAACCACGTTCTTAGATACTGTCATAAAAGACAAAAAAAAACCACTTACTTGCAAAAAAAAATAGAAAATACAGGTGTAAATTGGGAGAAATGGCATAAACCAGGTGGAAGCAGCCTGATCTCTGCCCAACAGGCGGTCGGGCCCTTCGACGACCGCCTAGTGAAACGCCGGATGACGACTGTATGCCTCTGCTCTCTTTTGTCGTGAGCCCTCACCTTTCTGCTTCTGACTACGCCCCTTGCTGCCGAACCCTAGGCGCTCTGCTATAATCCGTCTGCTATAATCTGTAGGAGTGACTTATGAGAGTAGTGAACGTCGATCACCATCTAAGTCACATCACAAATCCTGATCCAGCTCTTGTGCGGCTCTAGAGCTTCACAGTTTATACATGACGAAGCAACCCTTCGGTTTAGGCGGTTTCAGGAAGCTTTTCTGCTCTATCCGTCGGGTGTCGTCGACGTGCCAACGCTTGCGAAAATGTCCGAGTACAGATGTGCCAACAGGGACATGTACAATGGAGCCGAGCTGAAGAGTGGGTGTTATTTATTGAGTTCACTGACTGAGTTTGCGCTGAGTCTTTAAATGCAGTTAGTTTTTAGCGGGGCTCACGTATAGAGAACGGCTGCTCCCTTAGTGATGAGTTGATTTGATAATCTTCGGCAAAAATTGTCTCGGCTGAATGGGCATTTATAGATGTCGCAGCTATGGGTCGGGGGGTCTCAGAAGGGGAGAATGAGCCCACTTACGGGTGCGTTTTCTAGCGATGATGGGCCGATGCAGGTAGAAAACAACCACTGGCAGAAAACAACTCGGTTAAGCTCACTCCATGCCTACTGTCACCTCCCCTATTGATTTCGGCGTATCAACTGTCGAGTCGGCTGAGGAGTCTTTGTGCAGAAGTGGGTTGCCAAAAGGGAAGCGGCACTTCACGTATGCATAGAAGAGAAGGGGTCCTCGGTCGCTGAAGCTTCGGGCAAAATTGCAAAAAGATATTTTGTACTACGGTAGCCCTAGATCTGCGCCCTTTGAACCCCCTTTAGCCGACCCATGTCGGGCTCATTGTAACGATCCTTTTATGGAGGAGAAGCATGAGATAAGCGACCTCTGGAATTATTTTCCAAAGCACTTGAGTACTGCTTAGCCTCAAGTTACACTTATTGGGACATTTCATCTTATCTGTGGACTATAAGCGATCTTCTTTGTTGCAGATCTTCCGAAGAAACTTCTCTGGAACAAGAAGACGCTACTGTGGTACCTCTCAGGAAATCCGTCGTCGTTGACTCTGGCCCAAACAAAGTATTCTAATCGATTTCAACTGTAATGCCAATCGCGATAATGGGGCCTGTCAAGGGGCGGCTTTTTCCACCACTTCTTGTCGCTTTTCCAAACCCAGGCCCCCTGACACGCCCCAGCATCCGCGGCGAACAAAACTAGGCACTCTTCACGTTAAGTTGATGTAGCATGTTGAAGGAACTCAACGCTTGAAGACTTATTCCGCGATAAATGGTTGGGCGGAGAAATGGCCGGAGAGCTCTAACTGTCTTCCTCACTCATCAGCGAGGTTTTCCTAATACTGAACTAGAAGAAAGGGTGCACTAACGAGGAAGTCACAAATGATTATGAGTCTCCGCCCATCCGATCATCGTGAAATGAGTCCTCATGTGCGTACCACACGGATCAGATTTATTGAATTGCCGACAAATTTCAGAGAAGCTTGTGATGAAGCGTTCGCTAGGAATAGATTTCGTCGAGACTGAAGACCCCCCGTCTAAAGCTGATATTATCATTTCATTTGGTGACCTGGGAGATGTGTTCGTGAACGGTGAGTTTTCTCCTGTATCCAGGGTCTTATTGCGGTCATGGGCATCCAGGTAAGATAGTCCAAGAGTTCACTCTGCTTTCATTCGCCTGCTCACAGTCGATGAGCGTCATTATTCATTCCAGTCAGGAGTTAAGTCTTCCCGCTGCGCGGAAAAGCCATGAACCCATGGCTGGGCGTTTTGGACAGCTATTCTTTTCGCATGCTTCATTTCCACGTATAACCGCGTTGGTCAACATAACATCTAAAAGGAGCGACTCCACGTTAGTGGCTGGGCGGAAAAAACAGTCGGCTAGTCGTGCTTCCTCATTGGTGCGCTCCTGCCAGCTGCCAAATGAAAACTGCCTGTCGCCCTGAGATTGTAAAGGGGCTGTACCTTAGAAGTAAATTTCCTTAAACCACTTCCCCGTACCAGCCCTGAGAGGGTGCTTACACGGAACTTACTAAGAATTTGACGTTATTGATCACATGAATCATTTATCCTCGCTGTGATTTCAGTTCGGCCTGCTGGATCTTACACGACCAATAAACAGCCAAATAATTCTCGTGAAGCACCATCTTTGGGGCTATCGGAACCATGAGCCGGTAGGTCTAAATAGCAAAATCAGCGCAGACTAAGTTTGTAAGCGATGCGCTGCCAAGCCAGCGATTCTTTTCGACTATGTGAGCAACTGAATCTCACCAGTAGTTTGATACAAATTCTGATTTTCGGTTTTTTATCGCTGCCTATTCTTGACCGCACCGCGAACCGCACGCGTCAGTGGTCCTTAAAATGCAGGAAATAAGCTACGTAGCTTGTAAAATTTCAGAGAGGCATCTCACTCTTCCATACACTGCTTCATGAAATAGGCCACGCCCTTGGATTACCACACAATTTCTACAGAGGGTGAGTCTGCTCTAGTTGATAACGTCTTTTTTTTATTGAATCTGCAGCTCATCTTTCAGATCAGTAATTACCCGATCCTGATAACCTGCGATGGTTCATATGGCAGCACTGAGCGACGTACCCAATGGCTTTACGGTAATTAGCTTAATCAGATTCTATGGGACGGGGGTGTAAAGGGGAGGGGGGGGGGGTTGGTGAAGGTAGACGGTGCGAAATGGTTGTGCTATCACCCTCATAGTCTGCGGATTGAATCCTGGACCATTTTTCACTTGAGCAAACAAGCCTTTTACAGTACTGTTGTTGGTTAATTGGTACCATCCTGTTCGAGTACGGCAGGAACAATCTGTGGGAATAAACAAGGGGGCCTGAACAAACGCTGAATGCTCCCACATTTTTTTTTCGGTAAAGCTATATCATTCGTATAGCAATTTCGCTCTGGTTCCCCGTTCCGAGGTGGGGGGAAGGGAGAGAAGCGAGACATTCTTACATTGTAAATGAGCTCTTATGTGCTGGCTCTGAGCGAAACTGTAACTTCTATCAGTACATGTTTTGTTTTCGACTCATGAGTCTTCTCAATTCTCCCGCTATATATTGCTGTCACCTTCCTTGCTCAAAGTTGGTGTGGGGGGGAGGGAGGGAAATGAAGAGTAATTTTTGAAAGAAAGAAAAGTGCTAGAAAATTGTGAGGATTCAGGAAGATGGTAGAAAAATACGGGGAAATCGTGCCAGAGGAGGATATTCCGAGGGGAGAGGTCGAATCCTGTAATAGTGCCCCACCCTTGGTAGGACGTGCCCTGAGTAGATCCCATCAAGACTCCTATCAAATAGGCAATTATACCAGCTAAGTAATTACACAATTTAAGTTTTAATTATGACAAAAAGGAGACAAAGATGTGAACTCACAGTGAAAAATATTATTGTTCAAAGATCACTTATCAACGACCAACAGAAAAAATTGGCTATTGTTATGGGGGTAGAAATTGGCCCAAACATGGCACCTCCTACGCCGCCGATCGCAGTGGCCACACACACACATGCTATATAATCGCTCCCCAGGGTGCAGTCGCTGAGAAGCTCTCGTTCGCAATTCATTCGCTGCTATTTGTCGGACCAATTCAAGGATGCTTCTTCTTCTCGCTATTATTCCACTTGTTGCGACTGCTGACATCGATCTAGAGCTTACGGAACCAGGTACAAATCACCTCCTCAGTCAGTTCCAAAGGGAGGCGAGGTCTGAATCGGGTAGTCGAGCACCCATGCCCCCACGAAACTGTGCAAACTGTGCAATCTACCAAACTGGGGCACATTGGGCTAACGCTAAAGGACAATTGAGCGTCTCCGCAGCGTTCGAAATTACTTTTATGCGCATATTCTATTGCGCAAATGATGAGTTCCACCAAGCTGGAACCCCTAGTACATGGGCATGGGGCCAAATTTCCTTCCGTCCTCCCCTCGCCCACCCCCCCCGACCGTTTCGAACAAGGGACCCTTACATGCCTTCCCCACTAGACGGGCTTTCCTCTCGCTGGCACGAGCAGGCTGGCACAAGCAGGACTTTACTTGGAGCGTTTTCAACGTTTCCTCTCCTTTTTTTCTTCACGAGCCGGTCAAGTGGTACATACACACTCTGCTACCTACGAACTTTTCGCTGGCTCATCGTGAAGTCTGCTTTTGCATAAGAGTCCGTTTAATGCCCCTGCCCAACTTAGCTGACTTACCCCCACCCCAGTGTTCCGAGACGCATAAGCAATGTTTACAAAGAAAAGCTAATCTAATCACAGCATATTATCGAGTTCACGAATTACGCAGAGCAGGTGGGTATGAGGGGGTTCATTCGGTGCTGTTTATCCGACCGATTCGACCATGCTGATTCCTCTCGCGTTCATTTCACTTGTTGCGACTGCTGTCATCGGTCTAAAACCAGGTACGAATGATGTATAACAGATTTTCGAAGATCCCACGATTCAAAAAGGCACTCACATGAAAGCGTGGAGAATTTACAGTAATAATCTGCAAATGCGAGGGCGTGTGGATGGGCGCGCACAGCCAGGGCAGTGTTTTCCATAATTTGTGGCGGGCTCAGAAGAGCACATTTGGTGGGGTACTTGGCCCTGACTGCACTCCAGTTTGCACGCCTTCGTGTTCCCTATCGTTTGCATGGAT